AGAAGCCCATCTGTTAGAAGCCTCCTCCGTGGGGGATATCTACCAGGTTCCTGGCTCAAGACGTAAAAGTGTCGTCGCCCATACATTAGTCATTTTCAAGCTCAAGAATGAAAGATCGCAAACCAATTATGAGAGATTGTCGCTGTGACAGCACTAATTTTCGCCTTCCCTCGAGACGCGTTGTCAAGAACTCCTGTCTATCACGCTTTTATATATTAGGTCCCTTAAATTACATAAATAAAGCTAGAGGGGCGACTCCACGTTGGATTAAAACGGCCCGATTGTTGAACGAGTGTGTACCAGCTCAGTGAGAGCGTAAAAGGATTGCACAGTTAGGCATAATCACCGGAAGGAACTCTATAGTACGGCGCTTCTTCTCAAGAGAATTACCATCTTATCGGGCCTTGGGGCCGTCATCCATAGGCGTCTGCGAGCGTTCGAGGTCATACGGTTTATTCTACGTGATAGTAGCAACGGAATATTTCAGCGAATCCTGAATAACGCGAGGGCAAAGTATCAGCAGAGGCGTACCATGTAGTCTTGATGATCATCAATGTAATGCGCGACGGTAGACTTCATCTCTATGACCACTTCGCCTGGCCTGTTCTGTCGTGGTCGTGAGGGCCGTACAGTAGAAGGGTCCATTGAAGCACTTTTGGAGAACGTGGATCGAGGGGTGGAGCGAGAGTTAAGACTGGAAGAAGGACGTTAGTTCTGAGTAGTCGCATCGAATATGAAACCGCTTACGAGGCCAACACGCTGTTGGAATAGACTGATGGGGAATTAGTTTCGACATCAAGGAGAGTCTGGACACTGAAACCTACGCTTGGCTAGACAGGTGTAGATGGCCAGCCAGATCACTTCGAAACGATATCAGACCGAGAGAAGAAGTGGAGAAGGTCAGCTACTCACTTGCATCCGAATCGACGTTGTACTAGAACTCAAGGTTAGGGTAGATCGAAAACTCGAGCACCACAGCATCAACTTACCACGATAACCATCACCACAGCCGAAACACTTCGACATGGAACATTAGCATCGGATCTCCTCCAGCAGGCGTCACTTATATCTCACCTTGGTAGTAACCCTGTGCCTATTGAAGCGAATTAGCGAAGCTGTAAGGTACGGGGGCAGGGTGAACGTACACAAAGTAAATTGAATGACGCGATCGACGATATCACTCGACCTAAAGTGGGTGAGAAAAGTATCAGCGGCCGGAACCGATTTAAACACACCCACCTAGCAAAAACCTTCTCCCGCTTCCCATAGAAATAGAACAGCAGTGATCCAGCCACGACGAGGTCGATTATGGCCCCAAGGACCAGAAGGGTGATAGCCAGCCACCCATGGTCGTTTCGATAGGCGTCGATGGTTGGGGCTCGAACGCCCAGAACAGCAAGAACAATACTCCCAATGAGCCGGAAGAGCGCGACAACGAAGGTACCAGCGCCAACGAAATTCCAAGGTTTGCGAAGGGCTCGATAGACTCGGAAGGAGAAGAAGCCCTGAATTTTGAAAACCGCGTTGAAGAATGAGTCGGACTAGACCACTGATGCGCAGTATAATAGAATACGTACTTGCGCGAGAAAGGTGATGGTCCCTCCAATAGCCGTCGATGCACCTAGGAATGGGAAGGGATAGAGTTTTTCTGGTTGCCCCCAGTTCGTTACTGTCGCCTTGTAGATTTCCGCGTTGATACAGAAGGTATGTCCGAGATCGAACAGCCTAGATATCTATGAGTAACAGCGTAGAATGTAGAAGGCGATAAAGTTCTGCACCAAATCAGCGGGACCTACAGTAGAGATGGCTGCATCATCAGTGTTTGTCGAGACCAAGGGCTTGAAAGGCGCACCAATACTCTGAACTGCCATCTATCTTGTTTATACTGCTGGTAGTACACATGGGCCTGCAGCGTAAGAATCCCATACAGGAAGATGGAGAAGACGGAGCCGATCTGGAGAGCACCGACGGTATTGTGGAGATTAATGTCGCTGCTCATGATGTCGGGAGGTAGAGAAGAAAGAAAAATCAAAGGTAGGTTCGAATCGGCCGCGGGGAATGAAGGGAGGCCTTCCGCACAGCTTCAGTTGCTCGAGTTATGTATGCTTGCGACCGGGGATATGATCTCGAAGAATACCTGCCAAGGCGGCAGCGATCTCCATGGCTCCAAGGGACGACCTGTGTCGATGCTCGCTCGAGGAAAACAGCGTGAAATCGAGGTTGAATGGCTGGGGACATGCCCATGGAGAAAGGTGACATGATGAGCCAGTGGATACCAGTAACGGCATGTGGATCCTCGATCTTGTCCCGGTACTGAAGGAGAGCAGAGAGCAGGCCCAGTCGAGAAACATCGGGTAGAGAAAGAGGGCGACGAAGTCACCACGGCCTTGTAAGTAAGACTGTTCCAATTTGTGTTGGATATACACCTCTAGGTAGCTGTCCCGTCCTGACTTGAGCGAACGCGAGCGGTGATGGAAAACGGGAAGACGTTTTGCCATTCCCCGGTGTTAGTCATCCTCCGTCATCCATGATGCATCATCACTGATGCCCAGAAAAGAAAAACGAGGCCCATTTTCGGCAAGTCGGCTGGCGACGTTTGCCAAACGCACTCCGCCCCCGTTCATCCTCGTGGCTCATCGACAGGATATTTTTCCAGCAGGATCAGATGATAACTTTGGTCTAGTCGCTATTGGAGCATCGAACTTGACACCCGGGAATTATGGATGAGAAGGTGTGTCAAACATTCTCGCTGAGTGGCATGTTCGAGCCTTGATCTCAGCTTGTGCCGTTTGATCCTGTTGATCTTGGCGTCTCCCGACCAGGTAAACCGGCAACCTCGAAGACCAGGGAATTTCATGGGCAACATGCCTGTCGCTATATCACGAATCGCAGTGGAATGTGACAAAGTCGAAAGGACGAAACTATAAGACACAAATCGTCGCTACCTCTCACTAGGAGTCGTGCTCGCGTGCCCACCAATAGGTTGTGGCCGTCCATACATAGGTGAGATGAAATAAGGTCCTACTCATCGACTCTCGAGGGCTTACTTACCGGCGATGGGTATCGAGCAAACCTTACGTGATATGTGTTGTGAATAACCACGAGGCTATCCCCAGAGAGGTTACCGTACACCGTCGCCAATCTATCCTCAGGGGCAGCAGAACCTGGCTCCAACTGCACATCCCTCGCTCTACATACATATGTACCTTCTTCATCGCCATTCGGCCCGACTCCACATCCTAGCGCCGAATGCACTTTTCCTGATAGGACTTGAGGTCGGGACTATACGAATTACAAGGGCCCGTTTCCTCGAGGAAGTGCGAGCAACTATTAACTTTAAGTCCATTTTCATGGTGCATGTTCACCCTGTACATGTAGGAGACGGTAACGAGGAGTCTTTATTTCGTAACGAGTTGATTCAGCGGTTACACCATTGACTACCTTCTTGATGTATCAGGCAACCAGCTCGCCCTAAACCCTCGTCTCTCATCGTCCTCAGCAACCTTTCGTAACGCATTAACCTGCTGAACGCTAAGCCCATCCCCGTGTCCTTCAACGACCATCCTAAACACATCCCTCTTCTCTTCCCTAACCATAAAAGTCTCCCAATCAATCGCACCCTCCTTATCCAATACATTCACCACCTTCGAATCGAACGCTCTCGCCTCTTGGCCCTCTCGTTCGCGAAGATAGAAGACATCTGGAGAGACTGTGTGTGTACATTCCTCGCCTCCATCGTTGGAAACTGAAGTCCTCCAGGTTTCGCCAGGGCACATCGAGGCGTCGTCTTTACAGAATCGCCAGCTAGCTCCGAAGACTTCTTTTCGTCCGTCGAGGTTCAAGCACCCGCCAGAGGGTGAGACGAGAGTCTTTCGACAGGAGATTCCGGAAGCCGTGTGAAGGGCCCACCCAGTCTCTCCGTCAGGAAGATCTTCGATGCCGATCATCGAGGCGCTGTGCCAAAGGACCTAGGGTGATGGAGGTGGGATGTTCGTGGTGAGGAGGGTTTACGCATCATAGCAACAGTGGAAGTGGTGACTCACCACTTTCGGTGCAGCCATGGAGCCTTCGAGGAAGCGACAGCACGTATGGGGGTACATCCACGTACACGAGGCTCGACGAGCACTTGGATCGCATGTCGCCGACCCGTCGTATAGTGTTGCGACTGCTCCTTCGCAATCGCAGACCTGCGCCAGCGTCAAGGGAAGGGATGCGACAATTGTGATAAGAGATGTCAGTTTGGAGAACATCGCTAAAGAGGTGGTGTTGGGGCTGAGATCTGGTTTAAATTGACGACGATGTCCCACCATTCTTTTGTACCAGTCTAGTACGGGAATGTGAGATTCGTCTATATACCGGATAAATGGAAATATATTGACCTTGTTCCCAGGTGGGGGGAATTCGAAAGCTTGGACTTCGGCATGTCCACCGGAATGCGTAGAGAAGTAGGTCAGATGGCTGTTTAGTAGAATTCAAGCAATGGTAAGGACTTGCCCAAGCAATCGAACCTGATATAAGTGAAGTCATGCCTTCGGCAGAAGTGATTCTATAAAGTAAGTGGGAAAGTGGTTCATGAAACCAAGTCTTTTGGAATCGTTCTCTATGATCCGATATTCCGCTTGTGAGAGAGCCTTGACCGTTAACTGAAGGACTGCGCCATGAAATCGAGCGGGGGAACTCGTCACCTGCTTTCAATTCCGGAGGTGTTTGGGTTACATCCGCCCAGAGGGACGAGTCGAAAGTGGTGCAGGGTAATCAAAATTCATCAGACGAAAGGAAGCCGAATCCGTACATGGAATAAATATCAAACGAAACATCCAACCAAAACCAAGATATCAAACTAATTTACCAACGCAACCGTACGCGAACCACTAAACAACTCATATCCATTATCAGGCTTACCCTCCGAGTCGAAACCGAACATCCACACTCGAGGTCCAGCAACCGCATTCGATTCGTTCACTTCAAAGTGAGGATGCGAAGCTTCGTCGTCGGTAGCTTGGACGACGTATACGTAGACTGCGCCGATGGATGAGAGCTCGTGTGGGACTTCGACTGAGTACTTGTGGCTGTCGTCCGAATTGTCGCCCTTGCTCATTGGGCGCATGTGCGTGCCCCAGCTGACTGAGAAGACGGTGAAGAGCTTTTTGTCGGAGGAGTCGTTGGGTATGGAGCTGGGGTTGGAGGTGAATGCTTCGGAGAGGTCGATGGTTACTTTGTTGCCTGGTACGATGGTGTCGGAGGGGTCGACGGAGAAGAGGGGGTATTGGGTGATTCCAGTGGGGAGGGAGGGGAGGCCTGGGCCGCCTGGGGGACAGGTGGAGAAGAAGGGGTCGCCGGTTGTCCAGATGTCGTTCACGACTAGTGGGGCCTAGAAGGAAGTAAAGGATGAAGGTGAGTGATTCAAGTTGATTGATTGAAGATGGATGAGGGAATGGAGGGAACGAACCTCGAATGCGGTGTTCCAGGGGTTCTTTTTCTTCGTGGCGTATTGGATCCAGCCGGAATGGCGTGCTTGGACTCCGAGGATGGAGCCTGCGAGCGCGGAGTAGTCCTATATCGAACCCTTGAGCGTTTAAAGAATTGGAATGGAATGGATTAAAGGTACCTTGTTCGAAATCATCTTCAGAGTTCCTTGGTACATCGAAGTACTAGTGACCTCGAAGAACTCGCTATGATTGATGAAATCGCCGATGTTCTTGGTGTACTCACTACCCCCACGCACCATCGTCAACACACCAACCATCACCCCGAAAAGAAAGAATAAATGACGCACAAGTTGTAAGTGCAAGGAGGCAAATACTCCAACCCAGCACTCGAGATAGCGTTTTGGAGGATCGCAACGTATTCGCGTCGATGCCCGTGGATCTGCTGGAAACCGCCGTAGACGGCATCGTCGAGACCGTAGTCCTTGAAGTCCTGGGGTGACCACTTGGTGAAGGCGTACTCGTAGAAGGCGGCGGCGAGGTATTCGTAGGTGAGGGCGTAGTTGAGGACGCGAAGGTCTGGTGATAACAGAGTTAGCGATGATGAAAGGTGTAAGAGGAAATAGAGAAGGTAGAGGAGAGATTGGCACTTACCTTCGACGTCCTTGGGGTTGTTGTTCCATGGGTTACTGTCGTCACCATCGTCCCGTTGTTTAAGCCCTCCGAAGTACCCCTTTCGTCCACCGTATCCACCAACCGAGCCACCACTGAACGAGCTACCACCGAACTTCGCAGCGCCGTAGCTGTTGCTTCGATCGAAGGAGTTGGCGCCTCCATAAGAGACTCCGGCACCACCGTGATAACCGTTAGAGCCCTGACCGTATGAACCAGCGTTGGAAGAGCCAGGACCATACGTGCCAGAGCCAGATCCGTAGTGGTAGTCCTTGCCCCCAGCAGGAGAAGCGAGAGCGAAGGGGAGGGTGAGGGCGAGTGCGGTGAAGAATGCGTTGAGCTTCATCGTTTGCGGAGGAGGGTGGGTATGGGTATTGGTATAGGAGAGTAGAGGTTTGGGCGATGGGATGCGTGCTAGAGCGATGCGGCTGGCCCAAGAGCTGAAGACGAAAGCGAGGAGTCGATGCTTGACTTGGGAGCCAGGACGGGAGTATTTGTAGCATTTCGAGAGCAAGGTTTCAGGCTGTCTGGCTGACTGGCTGGACTCGACGAGGTAGAAGGACGTCCAGTCCGAGTCGTATAACTATTTGGGCGGGATCCAAGACCGTCCGAGACGCTGGATGGGATCATGGGGCGTTAGATGGAGACAGCTGGTTTGGTTCGAAAGGGATTGGAAAGGGAAAGGGACGACCATGCAGGACGAATCGAGATGTCAGAGTCGATTGAGGTGTCAGAACTGTTTGGAATTTCTGGAATTCGCGGTGGACGAGACAGCCAGATTTATTACTATTGTCAAGTAGCCAAGGAGACACCAGACAAAGTCCAAATAGTCACGTTTCCCAAGATACATACAAGTGATCGATCATTACAGTCGTGAAAAGAACATCGAAAGAAGGACGAAAAGAGCCACCCCAAAGCGCGGAAGAATCACAGAAACAAGTACAAGAACGACATAACACGTCCATAACGTCCGTTTAAGGATTGAACAACTCGTATCCAGCTGAAGGCATCCAGTTAGAATCGTAATCGAACATCCAGATCTTCGGTCCCGCCACCATATTATTATCACCGAGTTGGAACCCAGGTTGCGACGCCTCAGCAGCAGAGGCTTTCACGATCGAGACATAGACAGCGCCTTTCGATGCCAAATCGTTAGGAATCATAGCCCAGTACTTGTGACTCTCATCCGAATCCTCGTAAGGGTGTAGCAACTCGATGTACGGCCCAGTTCCGATGGAGAATAGGACGAACAGTTTGGTATCGTCGGTGGGCGAGGGGAGGGAGGACGGGTCGGAGGTGTAGGCGGCGGACAAGTCGAAGTCTGTCATCCGGCCTGGGTAGAGGGTGGGTGAACCGATGTGGAATGTGGGGTAGTCCCTGAGGCCGGGCGGGAGGACGTCCATTCCGGGACCGGTGCTGGGGCAGGAGGCGTAGAAGGGGAAGCCGATGGACCAGATTTGGTTGAATGCGAAGCCGGTCTGTCGGGAGGGAGTTAGTTAGGGATGAGGAGGGGGATTTGGAGTGAGGAGTGTAGGGATACGGACCTCGAAGGGTGTGTTCCATGGGTTCTTCTTTTGGACGGCGCTGTGGATCCATGCAGCGTGGCGGGCTTGAACGCCGAGGATGGAGCCTACGATCGATTTGTAGCCCTAGAAAAGCGACAGATGATGGTCATTAGAAAGTAATGTCACCGAGAAGAGGATAGAGAACCCACGTTATCCGAGATATACTGCAGAGCGCCTTGGTACATCGAAGTACCGGCGATCTCGAACCATTCACTAAGGTTGAGGAAATCTCCGATCGTAGCTGTGTATTTCCTATATCCAACATCCGGCGTGAGCATCCGACCATGAACGAAAAAGAAAATAAAGAAACGTACGTGAAGTCATAAGTGCAAGGCGTGATATACGGGTTCCCAGTCGCAGTGATTGTACTCTCGAGGAACGAGATGTACTGCTGACGATGCTGGTAGATCTCTTCGTAGCGTTTGTAGACCCAGTCGGGGTGTCCTTCGCCGGTGAAGTCGTCATTCGAGTACAAGGACAGGGATTTCTCGTAGAAGGCGGTGGCGAGGTATTCCCAGCTGAGAGCGTAGTTGAGGATGCGGACGTCTAAAGGGAAAGGGAAGGAAGGAAAGTGTCAACGCTGGGTGAGGAAGTGAGAGTTTTGGGGAGTACGTACCGTCTGATTCGACAACGGCGGGAGCTGCTGCGCTGTCGTCTGATGCGGTGTCGCTGGATGCAGGAGCTGGTGATGTGAAAACGCGGGGAAGAACGAGCGCTAGTGTGGACAAGACCAGAGGTATCCTCATCGTATTCGTTGGAAACGTGGTTCAGAGGGAAGACTGATTTGGAGGTTTACTGGGGAGACGACGTAGACTTGGAGGGATGTTCGGCTACATGCCAAATTCCTCGTTTTATACCCGACAATTCTCGACGAGACTAAGTGCAGGCTGACGACGTCGACGTTCGATGAGTAGGAGCTGGCGCTGAGGACCAGTCTCCTCGATGATTTTCGTTAGCCCCTTCAGTCTTTCTCGAGTTATGCGCGGTGGACCGTCAAGATTTCAAATCGTCCAAGTCAAGGAATGTCTCGGTGGTTGACAAGGTCAAAATCGGGTGCTAAGTTGACGCTCCAAAGGACATCGTTCTATCCGCTAGCGTGTGATCAGGCTTCAGGTAGTAAGAATTGGAGTAGGTATAGATGGAGAAGGTAGAAGTGCGCGTCTCGGTTGAAAAAGCGCGCTGTTGGATGAAGGGAAGAGGTTGACAGCGCTTGATTCTAACACGTCCAAATACAATCCAGATGACTTGGGATTTAGAATCAAACAACAGCAATCCCGATTTCCACAGCAACCAACTGCGAACTTCATCATCATCACTGTCTTGATTGACAACCGACATATCGCGAAGCGCCAGACCGTGTCTTCCTTCCCAAGGTACGTTTCGTGAATTCATTACTTATTGAATTTCATGACTAACATATCGTCGCGTGAACCAGGTATTGCACCGTGAATCTTCGGAACCGGTGAACCCGCCGTTGAATGCGTTTACGTGAAGGTTACTTGGCGGAACTGTCCTGACTTCCTTCGTCTTCAAGGCACCGGGATTGAATTCATCAACCCCGCAAACGACTGCTTGGTACTGAGGTAGGTCATTTGATATCCTTCCTTTCTTCGCTTCTCCATCTCACTATATCACCGTTTTCGCTCTTCGCCGTTACAGTGCATCAAATCAAGAAGCGAT